CGATGATTTTCTTGCCATTACTGCCTTTCCAGCCTGGAAAGAAGTTACGCAGGCAAACACCACCATTCGAGTTACATTTGACATGGAAAACGACCTGGCTCGTGGGATGGATGGCGCGGTGAAAATCCAGAAAAACATGACCCGAGAAGTTCGCTTCAAACGTGGTCGATGGTTCACCGCTGATGAGAACGGCAAGTTCCACATGTACAGTGGATATCGTAATGGCAAGACTGCGCAACTCAAGAAGCAAAAGCTATCGATATTTGGACTTGTTTTAAGCTATAACTCGAAAGATGGAAGCTTGGAGCTTAGTGACGAGGATTTCAATGAATCCAAAAAGATTTACCCCACGTTGAGAGAGGAAATGATTGGATTTCCATTGGCACGCGTCAGTCGTATGCATTCAGATTCAATCACGCCGCTGAAACGCAATCCTCCGGCTGCTCCCAAACCATGCAACGTAAAATGGTCCAATGCCTTGCGACTTGACCCAACAACAACAGGTGGTCGTTGCTTACATTTCACTGCTTCATCCGCTGGTGATATGTTCGTTATTTTCGCAACCGTGCCCAGTAAACGCTCTACATGGTACTATGTGCAGATGGGAGTCAACAAGGTTGCAATTTACAAGGTTGATAAAACTTCAATTTATCTAATTCAGTCCAGCCAGAGAGTAAGAAGAGGAAATATTTGCAGTAATTAAAGGAATATTGTAAAACGCTTTCATTCAACGTTCTGATGTATGTATGTACTGTTATTCTTGTAGTTTTACGTTGTCACTTACATTCCGATGAATATCCTTTGCTGTACCTCTACCACAGGGAGAAACGGAGGTTACAACAACATCAGACACTGGAGCATTAGCAATAGGAGATACCTTGCTGTATCAGTCGTACTTTGTCTGCTTATACGAGAAACCCGACAGTACCCTGATTGAATATGGAAAGACCCTAGGCACTTCAGACGGCGGAGATATATACCTCATGCACCTTGACACCGACAATCCCTTGAATGTGCGCTTTTACGCTTTTGGCAACTTGAATGAAGCTGTTAAAATATGGGACGCGCATATTGTACCGCGTGACACAACGGATGCAGACTGCAAAGGCGATACGTACAAAGATCTCCCAACAAATTTATGTGTTCAGAAGTGCCATCAATATTGTGATCCTTTTGCAGGTTAGTACGAAACGTTGAAGTTTCAAAATTTAAGATTATTGATTAATCTTTACGCTGCAGTATTTAAGGACATTCTTAACCCCATTTATCCTTGTATATTAAATAAGTGCCTGTGCTGATTCCCCCCATCTTCTAATGTAAAAAGTATTGATTAAGCTATAGTAGTCCAACTTTGCGAACTTTCCTAAAAATTCCATTGTCTTGAAGATCTTAGTGTGTTACTTATTTGATCACTTGATTTGATGTTTCTATGGCGACCATGTATTGACAAAATGCATTATGCAAATTCACGTCTTTGTGCTATGTTGGATTTCAGTTCTAAAGATTCTTGTACTAATTTTCTCTGGAAAAAAAAACAAACAAAAAACAAAAAACAAAAAAACAAAAAAACATTTCCAAATTCCAATTCGATCAACGGAATAGAACCAGCTAGGGCTGATATAGCTTTCTCTCTAAATTTTATAATTTATTTGTTTATTTATTTATTCAGTTCTGGAATCTTTTTAGTGTGCTACTGATTTTTTTTTCAAAAGTGAGATCGATGGTGGAGGTTTTTAAATATGACGTCATCAAAGAGCAAAATGACGTTCAGCCGATATGAGGTTTGATTACTATTGATTGAATACTTTTGGAGACACCGGCTCAAAAACGGCAAAAGAAACTGAGGTGTAAATAGGGTAAAGTAGTCTAAAGAAGCACTCCTTGTTCTGTTGCAGTTATCTCGAAACGTTCTTTCCATTTCAATGGTCTTCAAATAACAGTATCCCATAATACCTCTGAGATGTAGTTCACGTAACTCTTGATTATAAAAGGACCTAGTTTTTGGATTTTTACAAACATCTGAATACGAGTATCCCTTGGCTTTTCAAGCACCGTGCAACAAGCCATTAAACTAAATTTTGCGTTTTGTTATTTTCCTCAGGTTGTAGAACTCCCGGCGCAGAGGATTTACAGCCTTCAGATTGCTTGGCTTGCAGAGTTGCAAAGGATCCACTGACCAACACATGCTTAGAAAAATGCCCGAAAGACAGAGAGCCTGTAGAGGGCAAGGAATGCTTAGGTAAAAGTTACGACAATTCTGGATTTAATTTGTCTCTATAAGAAAAAAGACATTGCAAGAACTTTTGTTTTCCTTAAGGTATTTTTCTGAAGTCAAATGTTTTAATCAGTTGTTTGCAACTCAATCAACGAAACTACAAACCGAAAAACAAAAAGGATCAAAATCTTCAAATCACCACCACCACATACGACAACAGAAAATGCAGCCTCAGTTGAGATTTCAATTTCAGAGTTCGGATGATTTTCAAAAGCGCAGTCATTCTCCTTCACTGGATATATCATTGAACTTGCCTTGTTTAATTTTGGAATCTGAACCTCCTTTTAAATACCATGCTATTGCTGTATACACACTGGCTAAAGTTTTTGTTGTCGTATATTTTTTTGCAGCTACATTTGACGCGAAGACAGTCTACACAGATGCAATCGCACCACTGATTAACTTAAAGCCAATGGGTGGGGTAGAAGTGCAGCAGATGCCATATCTCAATCACATGACCTTGTGCGTGTGGACAAAAATGCCACAGACAAGTGTAACTGGATTTAGACACAATGTGCTTGTCAATTATCATGAGGAAAGCTCAAAGAAAGGATTCGCCTTATATTTCACTCATTGGGATGGCGCTGAAGCGAGTATTCCTCCGTCTGGTCGGTTAAGCTTCTCCAACCCGGACAGGTTTGTCACTTAACCTCTACTTAAGTTTGAGCAAGAAAGCATAGGATCCGACAAGCGGGAGTTTAGGTAACTACGACGAATCGAAGACGCCGAGGACAATGTCGATCATGATCAAAAAAAATGAATTCATATTTTACCTACCTCATTTAGCTTGTTTCTCTTTGTCAAAACTCTCCTGGAAGCGAACTGCATATGGAACACGGCGTAAAATTGGAAACAAATTTTAAAAATTATTCGTTGTGTTTCCCATTCTCCAGACAATGCAGAACCTTAATAGGGACGTTACGCATTTACTACGGCGACGGCAAGGACAACGCTTGTTGTGTGTGTTTATATTTTACTTTGGGATTTTGCATTTACGTAGATCTATTCAGTGTGTTAAGGTTTGTCGGTATTAAAACTTGGCCCTGCTGAATACCAGGTTGTCAAAGGGGGGTTTCCGTGGAGCCCTAGAGTTCGGAATGTTTTGCTCTGGAGCCCGGAGCCGGATCATTTCACTGCCTGGTGCTCTGATCTTTTTTAGCAGCAGAGAACGGAGCCCTGAGAGTTTTGTTGCGGAGCCCGGAGCCCAAAGTAATAAAAGTCAATGATTTTTAGTACCCAGTCTTTGTTGCTTTGGGGAAATTGCGGTCCTTTACCTCCTTTACACCGTGATTTATGACCAAATAGTTCTTAAACTCGGAAAGGGACGCCACAGCTCCATCACATTTAAACATGAAGCTCCAGCGGTGGCAGGCCTTTTCCGCTCCCAGTTTGTATGGGCATGCTGTTGCATCAAGCAAACTGTCTCCCAGTTCTTACTCTGTGTACCCGAAGAGGCAGGCATAGCAAGAGTTTCGAAAGGCAGCAGTTATTAAAACTTCTTCCCGATTCGGCTGAAAACTTGATTTCAGGAAACAAAGACGGAATTAAATTTACGGCAAACGCGACGCCAAAGCGCAAACGATGAGGGAACCCACGTGACAATTGTCAGACTTCCGAAAATAGGCAAACGGCAGCGGGAATGGTAAGCCTTTCCACAAATATCCGGATATTTTTTGGGAAATTTAAAAGTTTTCGAGATATTAAGAAAATATTAAAACATTAAAAAAAAATTGGAAATATTTAGAAATATTTTTTAGGATAGCTTTTTTTCCTTAGCTTTGTGTTTTCCTCGCTATTTTCTTAAAACAATACCCAGTTCTATGCCAAAAACAATCCAGTACAACGATTTCCCACTCGAAAAATGTATTCCATATTACTAGAAGCGCTAAAGGAGTAGTTTTCCAAAATGTAGCGGTTGCTGGTAACATGGATGTGGCTGAGTCTTCTTCCTTGACTCTTGCTACTGGAAGAAAATTTTCAAAATTTTGCCTTAAGCGATTCAAAATTGGTGTTTTTTTTTACAACAAAAATAGATCTTTAGAGGGTTTTTTTGAGATATTTAAAAACACTTTTGTAATATTTAGAAATTTTTTTGAGAATTTCTGGAAAGATATTCAGGCGATGTTACGTGGTATTTGTGGAAAGGCCAAGAAAATGGGCACGTGACCATGATTATTTACCCGCCATTTCAGAGACGTTTTCTGTTTACTACGTTTTCAGTTTAGCCTTTACTCGTAAAGAAAGACAAAAAAAGACGAAAAATCGCTGAATTTTGAATTTCGTTCGTTCCCTGATTGCATTTTGCATGATGATTGGGACTGCAGCCTACTAGATAACAGTCTCCAAAGCGGAGCCCGGAGCCCCATGTAGATGCCAGGGAGCCCTGGAGCCCTCTTTTTTTGCCTTTAAGCGCTGGAGCCCCGCTTTGTTTTAGGCCCGGAGCCCTGAAGCCCTCAAACCCTTTGGGACCCTGGAATATGCTACGAATGCGTTCAGTTCAAAATAGAAATACCAAAATTTACCCATAGTGGGTCCCGTTGTTTAAAAAATTGGAAATTGGTCATTTCAAGTTGTTGTTTTACAGAGGACGGCTAAGAAATGTACCAAGAATTATAACGCAAGTGCATAGCCATTGTTTTTCTCATTAAACCTTTTGTTTAGCGACGCTCCCGTCGCCGTTTTCGTTTTGCTAATAGGAAGCTTAAGCGAACCACGACGACGACGGCAAGGAAAACGTCACCCTTAATTTAATAAAGAAGAATTCGTTGATAGTTAAAAAAATTTCTAATTGTCGCGAAAATGGCATCGACCGTTTACGAAACGGACAACTGCGACGGCGGCTAGTTTTTCTTATTTTCATTTGGAATTGAACGCTAGTGTTACATACTTAGCTTGAGCAAGGTCGGGCACCAGTAGGCGGATTGAAGAGATCTAGACAATTGCTAAATTCGAAGGTAAAATATAAATTCATTTTTCACTAGGCGTTGTACGACACACACTTCATATCGCAATCAAAACTTGCCAAGAACACGTTAAGAGTGTGTGCATGAGAAAACCTAGCCTGCGTGTCTCATTATCTCATTATCTCATGGACACACTCTTAAGAAATTCATCCTTGGTCAGATCGCTAAAAGAAAGCCCATTGTACTAATATCTTTAACCAGTTTAGATGCTCATAAACGCAGAAAGCAACTTTGCAGTACAAAAATGGTCATTGCGGGAAACAATTGGCATACATGTGAAATGTGTAGCTAACGTTGCGTTTCCCTCCCTTTTTTTTGCACGTACACAGATATTTCGTGTTTTCAAAGAAATTTCTCGATGACTACAATTGGCATCATGTTTGCGTTACTTGGAACGGTGTAACTGGGGTGACTGTGGCATACGTGGACGGGGTTAAAGATAGCACTGGCAAAGGTGGTAAAGATACTCCAGGTGGAATAATCAAAAATTCATTACCAGGTGGTGGAACCTTAACGGTGCTTAGCTACTACAGTCAGGTAGTTTACCTGAGTGGGGTTAACCTATGGAATAGAGTTCTATCTGCACAGCAGATCGCTGAGTCATCAAAAAGCTGCGTTAAAAGCCATGGAAATGTGAAGCAATGGTCTGATTTTTGGCCTGGATTTAAAACTGACAAAACTAAGTATGAGTCGCCCTCCGAATGTAAGTCTCCTCGGGCTAGCCCTGGGGATGTGATGGAAGGAAATGGTGCCGAAGCAGTGTCTGGAGACCCGGCAGAGGACAGCAAAAATTATTACTGGAAACTGAAGAAGCTAGCAGCAAGGAAGTATAGTAAAAAGGGTCACTGAAATTGAGAAGCGTTTGGCTACCCTAGCGTTGAATTGAGTTTAATATTCCTCTCTATTTTCTCGGCCAATATGAATGTTAGCTTAGTGCAGGTCATTAGTTGATTTAAAAATAAACAGTGCTACGACGAGAACAGGTGTTACAAGAATTCGGGCGTTAAACTTGAGCTAGTGATCCACGTAGAAATTGTTACGAGAGAAAATAATACATGT